ACATGCCACTACTCGCAATCACACAACGCTATTAAGCTAGCCACAAACAGGAAATTCGCACCAATCGTGATTTGCAGTCAAACTGTGTGCTAGTGACAAACATTATATATTAATATAAAGTGTGATCACACTAAACATGCTAGAAGCCATAGATTTCAAGACATTTGGGCGAAGAGAAAAACGAATGATCACCATAGATCAGAAGAGACTCGATCGCCTCTGAAGAGGCGAGTACTTGGCGGGAGGGACAAGCGAAAAAATTAGGGCACTTAAGCCTGAATACAGGGCAACAACAGGTTGGACATATTTCACATTCGGATTGTGAGATTGGATTTTGCCGTCGATGTGTTCGAGGGGATGAAGTGACTCTGCATTTCATCGTGTTTTTTTTAGCGCGTTGATGTGCGGGACTGCTAGTCTTCTTCCACAAACACCGTCTCTTGTTCTTTCTTCTGCAAATTATTGTCTTGTTTCCTTTTGTCAATTTGTTAAGAATTGTGTTCTATTCCGCGATTTATCTGGTTATACCAAAGTGAATTGGGATCGCGCTCACATTTTAATGGGGCCGATTTTAACCTAATAGCTAAGACAGAATGAAAGAGAAGTGCCTGGGCGTAAATGAGTGATCGCCGTCGCACCGTTAAAGTCACAAGTCACACTCCAGTTACCAACAACCTGAAAATAGGGAAGAGATCAGTAAGTCTTCTATTGCCGAGAAAGGGAGGACATGGAGGAATTTAAACAGTGAGAGCACGAAGCTGCAGACAGAAATGAGAGTAGTGGAGGATTTGGGAGAAGCGTTAATGCAGAAGCAGCTCAAGATATAAATTGAGCACCAGATATGCAACCCTTGAAAAAATGAGGGAGATTCTCACAAGCACTCAAAATGAAAATAGATTGCTCTGAGATATGGCAAATAAAATTACTGCCACAGTTGCTTAAAGAGGCATAGGGTCAACGGGGGAGAGCCAGAATATGTGAGAACTATGGAAAGAAAGGAAGAGTGTCTGCGAGCTATCTGTGAAAGATCTGCTAGACATAGATTCATTGCAGGTGCAAAATGTAGTGACTGAGCTGCTGAAGGACGACTAGATAAGCTGGAAATAGGTACTGTGCCGCATAGAGAGAAATAGGAGTATTGAAATGATGTTCCTATCACAAGAAAACGACCTGCCGACTGGACACTGTGCCACGAGCTTCGTAGATTGTTCAACGACAGCAAGCAGAAAGCCGCAGGTACGGAGGATCTCTAGATAGCGACGTCAGGGGCGCTAACATATTCGGATCCAAAGGTGAACAGAGGATATAATGAGAATTTTGAGAAATTTTTGAGGCGATTAGAAGAAGAAGACGCATCTATCATCACGTGTGATGCAAATTTAGTTACCATCTTAGGCAATGACCAATTGAGAGGTAAAGCCAAGAATAGATTTGCGGCAATTCAAAGAGAGATGAAAGAGCTAAGGTTAAAGGTAGTAACGAAGGAGATGACGAAGCTCTGGGCAAATGACTCGGTGGCGTGTAGAAGAGCTCTGATAGAGTTTTAAGAACTTGAAAATGCGACCCAAACAGGATGCAGTGGATTTTTGCGTTGTTTTGGAAAACCTGGGACCTAGACTGTAGAATCGCCGATAGGTCCATGGACGCAGATCCTACTGGACAATCTAGCGAGTGGCCTGGGCATTGCCAGTTAATGGGCACGCTTCACGAAGTAAACTGGAGGGCGTATAAGAGAATAAAGCATTTGCATCAGCATAGAGCAGTCAAGGCACGCTAGGTGTTCGAAAGGACATGAAGCAGCGTGCCGCGCACTATTTCTTCTCCGACAACAGATTGAGGAGAGCCCCAAGGAATCAACAAGATGCTTCCACCTCAAAGTAGTGAGCTATCGTCTAGCAGTAATAGTAGAGGAATGAGAAAGTATTTTTGTGCACGAAATTTGGACACATAAATAGAGAATGTACTAATCAAGCCATTATTGGAGCATGTATGTTCGTTGGGCATGTCACTGGGAAGCGGCAAAAAATATCAGCAATGACCTTATTGAAGAGCGTATCGTCACACCCGTCATGGTCTTTGGATAGTTCCAGAGCTAGTGGACACTGATTCAATGATTAGTCTAGTCAAAAGTGAGGTTCTAGGCAGAGCAACGGACCGTTAAGTCAAGTGTTCGATGCTTCAAATAATAGAAAGGACTTTCTCAGATTGGTCTACGTCGAAGTCCATGGAGGAAGCAAGAGCATTGTGGTTTTTCACACAGCGGTGAGTAGAGAAAATGACATTCCGCTAGGAAATAATGCGCTACCGGGAATAGAAGTGATCTTACAGGAAAAACACGATGGAAAATGTGTAAGTTAGGATGAAAGAAAAGTAGCCGCTGAAGCGAGAGTGTATATACCACCTCATGAGTCCACTTTTGTTGATGATCGCTGTGACGGCCATATGGAAAAAGAGGAGAGTGTAAGGAGGGAAAAAGTATGGGTTACCGGCTAAAAACTGATACGATAAATTGGATGATGTGAATCAGCTAAAATGGGATACTGACGACAGCTAACTTTCTAGGGAAGATAGACTCCGCGAGCGAGCTCACCAACAATTCGGATTTAGGCCTCTCGATGCTCCAAAAAATTTTGGAGGAGTATCCAGATGCGTTT